TCCAAAACACTCATGAGAGCTTAGAGAAGCTTGATTTCGAGTTATATATATATATATATATATATATATTTGTAGAATCAAACCGAATAATTTCCGAACCAAACTCGAATCGAATATCGAAACTGTGACACCCGTAACCCGTATCCCGCAATACGAGTTGTGTCACATGGACAACTAAAATAAAAATATAATCCCAAAAATCCGCGGGAATTTAAAACTTTTCTTTTTCAGAGTTTAGCGGAAGAAAAACATTCATACATACATATATGATACATTATTCCATAGATAATTATATGTAACGAGGGGTCTACCACCGATCTAATATAAAACTGCTTTTCCAAAAGTATAAGCGTATCATAAATATGTAATTATACATGATCAGCGAAACAGGTTGCCAATGTCTGCAAGTCAGCTCCACGGCTTCTACTGCTCCCGACGTGAAATATTGCGTAACAATATCTTAAACTAATTGCTTAGAGAGTGAACTCGGGCCTAACCCGGAGTTCTATTCTAATGGAATCAGGGAAAGCAATATATATATATGTTAATAATCTAATAGATATGAATCGAAACATGGAATCACAAGAACCATATAAGCAAGCACAATCAAATATGTACAACAAGTCGCAGGACAGAGTCCATCAAATAATCTCTACGCACCCCATGCGTAGGTAATATATTCCCCATGTGCGTAGCACAATCACCTTTCCTCGGAATCCATCTACTCCACAATCACCCGGATCCGGCATTATTATATTTTTCTCCGCCCGAACACATCTTCCCACCCTAGCATCGATGTCACCTCTCGATATTAGGTGTGTCACCTCGCTACGGTATTGATGTCACCTCTCACTACTGGAGTTCACCAGACGTCGGCTACAACCGACGCCATCGACTATAATGGGAGAGCCAGTCGCTGCAACTCCCCCTCGCCAACCATCCGTCGCACAAATTCTTGTCAGGTCCGTGTCTGAACCTGGCAGAGTCAGTCCGTACCACCTACTCGGGAGACCCCAATCTACCCGAATCTCAGGTATGTGCAATGCCTCATCCTCAGGATAATCATATCCCAAAATCCGCTCCGTCGGTAGCAGAAACATTGGCGCGGTTACCAAGAACCGTATTTTCCTCGTCACGCATTAGTACCGACTACAATCGGCTATCTACGCAAGTTATCGGGGTGCCCATAACCGTTCTATCGTTCGGACGTTGGCACAATTATGTCATCGTCATATTCACAATCATATCCCATACGGGTGGCATCCGTCCCGGATCGGATATCTCATGGATGGGACGCAATCTCGCAAACATCGTGCATTCAATCACAAACGTCCGTTTCTACAATCACGCGCTAAACATTAATCCAAACCCTTTCGAATTAACGTTAACCCCACGCCAGCTACCCCAGTCACACGCATTTATATAGTTTATTTACTATACATGCATTTCCACTTGCGTAGTCTTTTAATTCTTCTTATAATCATTATATATTTCTTTTCGGTCTATCCGATTAAAAACCGAGTTGTACATTCGACTCGACCTATCTGGTCCCGGTCCGCCCGGATAACGAGTTCGGTTCATTCCGGAGTTTTTAAACTTACATGTTTATCCATTTTGGGTTCAGACTACGTGGGGTTCGGTCCGACCCGTATTTTTTGTTTATTTTTATATTTTCACTTTTTTACTATATTGAGTCGGTCTTTTTCTCACCTGGTTTATTTTTCGCGTTCCGTTACTCTTTTTTTTTTGGGTCGGTCTCAGACCGACCGAACGATTTTTTGGGTCTAGACCGATCGGTCTGCTTGGTCCAGACCGGACGGTCTGGTTTGTACAGACTGGACGGTCTAGGTTATCCATACCGGATGATCCAGACTTCGTCTTCAACCTCTGGACTTCGCGTTTTCTCCCGCAATCCTAGATTGGACGGTTTTACCTCAGACAGGACGGTCTAGGCCTCGGATTTCACCAAAAATACTCAAACATGCACGATTCGCTATGGGTAATACACTAAAACTCATAAAATCTCATGTTGAACACGAATCAAACATTAATTTTGCACGAATCACTCAAAAACCTAAACTCTATATCAACATACTTCCGAATTAAACTCAAATTCACTCACCTCGGATTAACCTCGTGCGTTGGGTTTTGAATGAGAAGCTTGATGATGCTCCTCGTGCTTTGTAGAAACCAATTTAAGCGTAAATGCTTCGGATTCGAGAGAGAATTCCGAGTTTGAAGGATGATAAACAAGTGAGGGGGTGAGGGGTTAACTAAAGCCTCAGATTTGGATGGATTTTGCGTGAAACATCCGGACACAGGGTGAAAAATACGTGTCAGGATCCCTAGGGTCAAAAATCGGGTTTTCTAATCGAGATTTGGTGCGTACCAGTCGCTTTTAGGTTGGATCCGGACGAAAATCGCTACCGACAGTCTAGTCCGTCCGATCCGGACTTTCTGAACCAGACGGTCCAATTTTTTTTTTTTTTTTTTGAAAATTGGGTTGTTAGAGAAACGCTCACCAATTGAAATCTTTTATCAACCCTATTACATTTGCATTTTTACCAAAGCCGGACAATTTTATCCTTCAAACGGTGATTACACTCTTCTTCAAACCGGACAATTTGTCTTTTTCTATTCTTAATCTTATCTTTATTTAGAAAATTATTTGTTTATCCGCAACTCTCTTTTTTTTTTATAAAAAAAATCGAGATAAACACTAACGACATTCTTTTATTTTATCTAAGCCAATTTGTATTTGTATGAGTTGAAGATCAAAATTTAAGTTATATTTTTGTATTTTAAACTGTGTCTATTATCTCATATAAATGTAATTATTAAAAAAGTGAATATATATGAGAATAACTAATTATATTCAAAACGCTAAAATCGAATCAAATTTTATTTAAATAATAATTAGTATTTAACAAAAAAATATCATGTACATCCACCATGGAACTGAATGAGAGTTTGATAGACGAACCCTCCCAAAATGTTTGTAATTCGGATCCAACAATATTGTCACTATTATTACGGATTTAACATATCGTATTTCATTATTTATTTAAACATGTTCAACGATTTATATCAATCCGTTTTTGGTAAGTTGGTAATTTATCTTGTGTAGAAATTCTTTTGGTACAAATTGAGTCTACTTTTTTTTTGGATATAAGAATAATTTGATTGTATGGCCATACTATATTATTATCTTGCATATGTATTAGGGTTACATGTATCATACTACTCTCATGCATAACTTAAAATGTAATTCACCCACATTTTGGCATCATTGGCCAACATTTAAGTTAATATTGCGAAATTGACACACACACACACACACACACACATATATATATACGCAATATCTTACACATTCCATGAATATGTAAAAAATATGTTTTCATAAAAAATTGATATTTTAAGAATATTATAAATTTGAAAGTTGATACCCTAAACATTCCATGAACATGTAAAAAAAACAAAGAATCATTTATTTATAAATTAAAAAAAAACACTTAGTGCGATCATTATAAACTTAACGTTATGACTAATGATATCAATACATGATCAGATTATATATGTAATCATATGGATACAAGGTTACATATATAGAAGAGTGTCTGCTGAAGTCAAAATACTTCAAAATAGCACAGGTGAAGTATTTTTTTTTTATATAATGCCTATGTAACGATTCGTGCCAAGAAAATAAAAAAATAGTATAAAATCATTTGGGCCTTAAAACTTGGACCATATGCCATGGTCCGTGGGCCGCTAGCATGAGGCCTTGGGTATTGGACTCATAGGACATCCGAATTCCAACTCGGTTTCGGTTTTTTATTTTATTTTATTTGATTTTTTTAATTCGAAAATTTTTTAATATCAGCCATGATATCCATTTTCATTTCATTTGTATTTTTTTTATTGGGTTTAATTATTATTTAAAAATATCTATTGTCAAAAATAATTTCCTTTCAGATTTGCATTTTTCTTAATATCTTTTAATATTTCGTCTATTTTTTAAAAACAAATCTAAAGATAACCAATTTTTTTATACCAAATTCCATTCAATTACGGTTATGTTTTATTTACTTTTTAATTATATGTAGGCCAATATATATTTTTCACACACACATACACACATATATTGTGAAAAGAATTTCATATGTATTCTCTTTGTTTGGTAATATCACTGTTACACTAGATGTGAGAGATTAGTCTTAATATTTATCAAGAAGTTAAAAGAATATTTAATCTTGAATCGTTAACAATTTATGATAATACACAAAATAACATTAAATGGACAGTAGATTCAGATTGATGGTAAAATACCATCCCTTTGGAAAATATTGTTGAAAATACAGAAATATTAATTATCCATCACCATATTTGTTGTACTAAATTTAAAAAAGAAAAAAAAAGAGAAAAACCATTTATTTTATTTTAGTTGTTTATTATTATTTTGTAATTCCATCATAACCGGAATTGACCAACAGCAATTGCTTTATTTCTTCGGAGTCATGCTGCTCACTCCCCTGCGACAATCACCATAATTACAACCGCAAGGCACAGATGCTCATATGTAATTCATAATATATTTTAATATCAGATTATATGCATATAAATATGGAAAATTTCTATAAAAATATCACAATTTGACTAAATGTGACACATAAATACCTCATATTTAAAATTGGTAAATAAACACCTTGGTTAGTTGTGTCAAATCAATATGATATCTATTTGGCACAATTTGATACAAATATCGATTAACTGTATCTATCTAATATAAATTGATCAAATTGGATTATTTATTTTGCAATTTGAATATTTGGTATTTAAATTTGGTACAAATCCATCAGATTAAGATATTTATTTAGCAAATTAGAAATTGATGCATTTATATGGTACATTTAGACAAACTGTGGTATATTTATAGAATTTTCTCTATAAATAGTAAATAATATCATATGTTGAGCAGTAGGCGATTATACCTTAGAGCAAGAAGCATGTACTTCGAAACCATTGAAACAGCTAATTGCACATTGCTCAATCTCAAGCCCTAATGACTCCATGGCTGCTATAGTTGCGATGAGCCGATTCGATGACCCTTCACAATACATTTCGATCCACATATCCGATTCCCTCTTTTCGACTTCGATCTGATAATAAAAACGAAGATTTCAGCAAATAAATTTAATAAATAAATTTAAATTTATGGAATGTATAAAAATACAAAACCTTAGGATAAGAAGAACCCTTGAGAATTCCATTTGGGGGATTGAATGAGTGTGTAAGGCTTGCACTATGTGGATGTGCTTCGACGTCTTGTTGAAGAGTTTTTATCCTTCCAAGCAAGTCGTTGATGTAATCTATTGTGTCTCCTAGTGTTGCTGTCTTGTCCATCTTCAATTTGAATTTTTTAGAATATGAAAGAAAAAATCATTAATACATACAAAATGATAGAATTTATAACCGATATAAAACAAGAGAAAATCTCATATTAATACATGAATTTGTAAAAAAATATTCAAATAAATATACAAACTTTAAAACTTCAAAAAAAATATATGAATTCTTCTTGGCTTTCATATTAAAACATTTACTTTTAAAAAGTTTCCAAAAAGCAACATAACATGGTGGTATTTGAGAATTGTTTACAAGTTTAAGATTTAATTTTATGGTGATTTTTGGGAATAATTTAAAAATTCATAATTTATTTTAATTGATTTTAAAAAATTCAAGGTTCAATATAGAAATTTGAAAAAGTTTATGTATTTATTTGAAATCTTCAAAATCTGTGTTTTTATTTGGGATTTTTTTTATAGTTCGTGTATTAATACGAGATTTCCCCTTCAAACAACGATTTTGATAACTACAAGCCCTAAGTTAGATATATAAGACCATTCGTAATGGAGAAATTCGTAGTTGATGTATCTACCATAATGGTCACGTTTCAAAAACCTAAAAAGATGAACCACAAAATGATATTGATGGTCACTAATCAAACAAACAAACAAATACCTTGCTGATATTAGGAACGATGGATCTAAGCATGGAGAGACGATCGTTGAGGCGCTTCCTACGTCGTCTCTCCGCCATAAGATTCTTCGACGACCTCCCTTCCATCGCCTTTCCATCGGTTCCGACACCTAACCGGACCGGTAAGACTCCTTCCGAAGACCTAACCGGTTCGGTTTTGAACTCACTGCCGACATAGTCATTCAGTGGTTGATGAAAATCCCGATGGGGCTCAAACGTAGTCGGTTCGGGTGAAGCAACGAACGGTGGGGATTGGTTATGGAATTGGGTGAAATGGTGTTGTGGGATTATTGGTGGAGGGAAAG